CATTATTATCAAGTTTTTTCGCGACATTCACTTCTTTCGAAGTGCTGAATAATATATGCAGCTTCGTAATCTATAATGGATGTCTTTGTTTTACGAATATGGTTTCCTTCAGCAAACCGACCTGGAAGGATGGCACAACTGTTACAACCATTCTCATAGTCAATGATGTTTTATATTGTGCGAATATTGGTGACTCCAGGGTTTGTTTTGCGCACTTTATTTCTAGCTGCTATGTCTTTTGTTTCGGAAAAGGATCTTAGACGAAGCAACGCATCAATAACACAGATTTCTTAGTTAACAGATATGTAGTCGTAGGAGATATTCACTTTTCTTCCAATGCTGTTTCTATTTCAGGCAGTTGTTTGTAGAAACAAAGGCCCGGATGCTGTTGTAGCCTTACAATTAACGGTAGATCATTCACCACTTCAGTTCGATGAACGGATGAGAATACAGAAAGCTGGAGGGAACGTCAAGTTTGTGCTTTTTTTCTGAGAGTGTGATTAAGTCCGTGTAAGGTTTCTTCTGAATTTTATGGTATGAGATATGCAATGTGCTGATAACTTTACGAGTTTATTGTTTGTGCCGGTAATGTAGAATTTGACGACATATTGGCCATACTCCATAAATTTAACTATTTTTTTAACTTCTATTTTTTTGAGATTATTACAAAAAAAAAAAAGTTCTTTTGGCAGGTTTAGATTCAGGAGCGTTTCTAGAATAGTGTAATTCTTTTAGAGACGGTCGGATTATGGGTGTCTTAGAAGTTTCAAGATCAATTGGTGATGGCCAGTTCAAAGCTCATGGCGTTTCTTGCGTCCCGGATGTGAAGAAGTTTTCAATCACAACTGAGGATAGGTCGTTACTGATGCTCTGTTGTGTCGTCTTATAAGCTTTTATTAATAAGTTGATCGTGTACTTTACAGTTTTGTTTTGATTGCTTGTGATGGTTTATGGAAAACCTTTAACAATCAAGAAGCAGTGGAATTCGTCTCCAAAAAGTTGAAAGAATCGGAGAAGGTATTTCTGTACTATTATTAAATGTTGCTGAAGCAGAAAAGCTAACTACTTTTCAACAACATTTTTATTTTTTCTATCATGTTTTGTTTCCAATTTCTGTGATTTTCCACAGATTTATTTGAAGTATGTATTAAAACCTAAACTTCCTAACTTTTGTTTCTTTTTTTTTTTATAGTTAGGTGTTCAACCTTCTTGCTAGTGCGCTTTTTCTTGGTCTTAATAAATGGTATTTTTAGAGGCCTGAAGTGGTCGACGAACATGCAGGAAATCCAAGATATCTTGAGTGTGAGAGGGTGGCTGACGCTCTGGCAGCTGAAGCAGTAAAAAGAGGATGTGGTGATAATGTGTCGATATTGATAATTATATTTGAGAGTCCTTATGAAGTGTTAAAGGCGAAGGTGTAGTAATAAGCCTGTTGCGTGAAGTACTTTTAGTCTTAAGTTTGTAAATAATTTGCGCAGGGCTTTTATATCACTTTAGTTCTCAAAATGTTACTTTCTTCAGGTAAGGATGATACTACTTTCGCATTTGGGTATATATTATACCAGTGTATTTCCTTTTGAATTATTCCTATGAAAAGTTTTGGGGAATTTTCGTTTCAAAATGTAGTGAAACTGAAGAATTACAGCGTAAATTAGTTGAGGAAATGAGCATTTTTCTTTCCGGAAGGTATGGAATGAGCTTTCTTTCTTCTTAAAATTTTTCAAGGTCGGTATGTTGTCTTGCAGTCCTTTCAGCTTCATTTTAGTTACCTGCAGTTTAAATTAGTGGGTAATTTCTTTTTATATATATATATATATTTTTTATAGCCTACTGTCGTTGACGACATTGGCGTTTATATCTTTGTTTTGATGTTGCATACAGTTCCCTGTGTGAAAACTGGAGTTCAGGTTTATTGTTTTGATGCTGTTCCTCCTTTTTTTGTGATCATTATGTGAAATATTCACCCCTGTTGCGTCTGGTTGAATCTTTTCCTCGAATTATTCCGGTTTCACACGAAGACTCTTTGTTGTTCCCTAGTTTCCCTAATTGTTTTGAATGAAAATAACGGATTTGATCACAGTTCTTTTTTTTAATAACGTCCGATCTAACTTTGAAGCTATAGACTTCAAAACTACAAATATTTTGGGAAAATGTGTGATGTGGATGAAATTGTGGAGGTTCATGAAAGCTTTTAAAGCGAGATAATACACTGAAATTTAGCTTGAATATGAGATACGGTGATTATGCTTTGTCATCAAATTAGTCTTTTAAGGGTTAGCAAAGAACAATTTTTTTGGGGGTTTATGTTCAGAGTTGATAGTAACTTTCTCTTTCAATGTAGTGCTTGATTTGGTTTGGTACGTTTTTGCTGCAGAGATGCTGAGCAACTGAGTTCGTTACTATATGATTTGAAAAATGTTGTTTGTTGATCTGGAGATCACGTTTGGCAGTCATTGACTTCGCTGTTTCGTTTTCTTTTTGGAAAGCTCCGGGATTGACCTAGGTAGTTATTGGGAAAGGTTGAACAGTGATAGACAAGGGAAGTGCGGAACCATCGGTCACCTCACATTAAACTACAAATTTTGAGACGTTTACGGTAAGGACTTTTAAATCTGGATTGGTGCTAGTTTGGCAAGGGCTGATATGCGACCGGCTTTGAGGGACCATAGGCCTGTGCTTTATGCATGTTTTTTTATTAGAGTTGCATTAGTTTTATGGGAATTTATTTTCGATCAATGAAACTTTTTTTGCATTGCTGGATAACAGAAGAGGATTTAGAAGAAGGCAAGGAACGCAAGAAAGTTTGAGAAGAAGAGGAACAGTCAGAAATGAGTGGATATATTTTACTTGAAATTAACAGTGCTAAACTGTTGTTTAAAACTGCAAGTGTTAGGTGACCGAAGTATAATAGTTTGTAAAGCAGAGTGGAGACAGATCAAACTTGCAGTATAACTTAGCTTCACTCGTTACCAGATGAGGATATGGAACAAAAAGTTTTTTCTAGTACATCTACAGTTGTTTGCAGCTTTTCTTTATGCAATTTTCTAAGTTAGGGAACAGAATGTAAATTTCATACCAGATTTCACAACAAGACGTTGCAAGAAGCTGATACTTAATCTAGCAGATGCCTGCAATTGATATGAGGAATGGAAACAGCACATCGGTTCTTCTAAGAAAATGTCTATGTAAATCATCACTAAATCTGATATAAAGTGCTAGAAACATTGAATATTACAGGTTGAACACAGGTAACAAAGTGGGGGAAGATTTAAATTGTCTCACTCTTCTTACCTTTGATTTTTTCCACTAGTTGTTCTGCTCAGAATTTCGAGGTAAAAGTGCTATTTAGAACTGTTTGCTAGTCTCAAAAACTATATGTAGCTAGGACTTGTCAAACTGTGAAGATCAGTTTTTTTATATACTGAGCTGCCATTTCTTCACTCCATTAGAACTGCTGTAGTAGCCTTAGCCGTTGGTCTACATAATGAAACTTGTTACGGTATAGGATTCTGGTATTTTCCTCAGACATTATTCTTGTGTGCTGTGGTTGTAATAGTTGCAATCTGTAGTTGAAAATCAGCTGGAGGAATGACGTTACATTTACGCTACGATTGATCAATACGCTCACAGATTCTGATTTGGCTGGACAGCTAGCCTGAATAAATAAACAGTCAAAGTTATCGAATTTGATAAATTGTTCGCAAGTCAAAAATTTACGACAAAACCCTCACATCCAATTTTAATATATAAAAGCTTTTACTTTTGTACAACCATATTTTTGATCGAATTGGAAGAGTACAAAAATACGAGCATCTACTAAAATTGAGTTTGAGGATCAAAAATTTCCAGTTTTTAGAGAATACTTGAATTTACAAGTAACTTTCCTGATGGTTAGCTCAAAGACTGGAGCGCAATACTCTTGGTAGACGATAAAATTTGAAATAACTTCGGTCTTAGTTGGTATTCATTTCAAGGCGGTAAAACAGAGCGTTCAAAACACTCAGTTGATATCTGACCACACAGTTGTATACAGTTATCACCGTCTTTTATTTACTGGACATCCAGAACTCGTCTTTTCTTTTTTTTTTCTTTTTTTTCCTACGCTGCTACTTAAATAACCATTTTTTATGAGTACTGAGGCTATTCCCTTTCTTGCACTTTTTTTTGGATCTCAGTAACCGGCTTAAAGAGGAATATAACTTGGTGCTTTTTTTTTTTTTTTTTTTTTTT